TGWATTTTCTTARGCTATGCTTCAGGTCAAAAAGRTTATAAATGTTTTRATCCTYAGACAAAAAAACYTTTTWTGAGTATGAATGTGTCCTTTTTAGAAAAGMAACCATATTTTAWCCAAAATTCTCTTCAGGGGGAGAAAATGAATTTGGAAGATAATTTTTGGGATATTTCTCTTCCTAGTCCCATMTKTTCGRATTTTACTAGTCCTTCGATGCCAAGTATAGAAACTGTCCAATCAGGGGGAGAAATACTACAAAACGATTCTACGAATCCTAGTTCTGAGTTAAAGTTTTATACTAGAAGGAAATTCAATCAGAGGAACCAAGATCAAATAGTTACTCTTTCACAAAACCAATATGTGACTTAGAGAAATGAAACTGAACTATCTGATAATCCTCCCTCTTCAACTTTGTCTGGTAATCCCTCTTCTTCAAATTTTAAAAATAATTCACTTGTTGTCTCTGACCTTGATGTTCCCATAGCCATTAGAAAAAGCGTTCGAAATTGTACCAAATATCCTATTTCGAACTACATTTCATATAAAAAATTATCAAATATTCATAAGGCCTTCACATCTAGGATAACTAATTTGTTTGTTCCAAGGAATATACATGAAGCTTTAGAAGATCCAAATTGGAAATTAGCTGTTATGGAGGAGATGAATGCTCTGAAGCAAAACAGTACTTGGGAGATAGTAGAGTTGCCAAAAGATAAGAAACCAGTGGGATGTAAATGGGTGTTTACCGTAAAGTGTAATGCAGATGGTAGCATCGAGAGATACAAGGCTAGATTGGTAGCTAAAGGTTTCACTCAAACCTACGGGATAGATTATCAGGAAACGTTTGCTCCTGTTGCAAAAATTAACTCTATTAGAGTTCTTTTGTCTTTGTAGTTAATTTAGATTGGCCTCTCCACCAGCTTGATGTGAAAAATGCTTTTCTTAATGGCAACCTTAAGGAAGAAGTTTTTATGAATTTGCCTCCAGGTTTTGAAAAGGAACTCGGATGGAATAAAATCTGCAGATTAAAGAAATCTCTCTATGGCCTCAAACAGTCTCCTAGAGCTTGGCTCGAACGATTTGGAAAAGTCATATCGAGTTATGGATTTCTTCAAAGTCAAGCTGACCATACTATATTTTATAAACCCTCTCAGAATAATAAAATCTCAATTCTGATTGTTTATGTAGATGATATTATTCTCACTGGTGATGATGAAGCAGGACTAGCCGATCTTAAGAAAAATCTGGCAAGTGAGTTTCAAATCAAGGACTTGGGAACATTAAAATATTTTCTAGGGATGGAATTCGCAAGATCGAAGAAAGGTATATTCGTTAATCAAAGAAAATATGTTCTTGACTTACTTGGAGAAACAGGATTGCTGGGTTGCAGGATCGCAGAAACTCCTATTGAACCTAACTTGAAATTACAAGCAGCAAACGCAGAAGAAATAAAGGATAGAGAGCAATACCAGAGACTCATGGGAAGATTAATTTATCTGTCACATACACGACCAGATATTGCATTCGTTGTAAGTATGGTAAGTCAATTCATGCATGCACCTGGACCAACTCATTTTGAAGCTATCTACAGAATCTTGAGATATTTGAAGGGAACTCCTGGAAACGGTATTTTATTCGAAAAGAATAACCACTTCCAAGTAGAAGTTTATACTGATGCAGATTGGGCTGGAAGTACTACCGATAGAAGATCTACTTCTGGTTACTGTTCCATTGTTGGAGGAAATCTAGTTACATGGAAGAGCAAAAAACAAAATGTAGTGGCCAGGAGTAGTGCTGAAGTAGAGTTTAGAGCATTGGCTCATGGAATTTGTGAAGGTATATGGATCAGAAGGATGCTTGAAGAATTGAAGATTCCTCATACGACACCTATACGGATTTATTGTGACAATAAGTCTGCCATATCTATAGCTCATAACCCTGTACTACATGACCGAACCAAACATATAGAGGTTGACAAACATTTTATTAAAGAAAAGATTGATGCAGGTGCAATATGTATCCCTTATCTTCCGACAACAGAGCAAATTGCCGATGTTTTAACTAAAGGACTTCCAAAGAAACAATTCGACAGATTAATCAGCAAGCTGGCTATGGACGACATCTTCAAACCAGCTTGAGGGGGAGTGTTGGATTTATCAGTATTTGTGTAAATATTAGTTGTCAATATTAGTTGTTAATATTTAGTCTTTATTGTTAATATTTAGCTTTTATGGTATTTATTGCTTTCCTTGTTTGTAGTAGGTCATTCTCCTATATAAGAAGACCTAAGTTAAATGTTTGAATAGAGCAGAATATTTTCTCTCAAATTCACAAAAAGTCTAGGACTTACCTCTTAAGTTTTGGACAAGACATTGTTTTGAGGCTATTGGAAGCCACTTAGGTGGTTTAGTGGATCTCTTCAAAAACCCTGAAGTTGCTTGATTGTTCAGAAGTTCATCAGCTAGTAAGCAAAATCAGCGGATTTTTGAAGGTCGCAAACGGCATATGATTGATGTCCTAACATGCTAAATTCAGAGCTTCTCAATGGTGTGCTCTTTCCAATATCTTTACAAATTACCCTCCTAGCATGATCTACTCTTAATTGGGAAGCTTTTATTTCTCCTTTGTAATTTTCACTTGTTTTTTAGTTTGATTCTCGTTGTACTTTACTTTACTGTTTTACCTTTTTGTCTCTTTCACTCCTTTGGAGTTTGTATCTTTGAACATTTTATGTTCCTTTTCATATCTCAATAAAAAGTTTGTTTCTTATTCAAAAAAAAAAAAGGCTAGTAAAAATTAGGTCTTGCGGTTTCTTGCTCTCCTCAATCGAGATTACTGAATCATGACTTGGATCCTTCAAGGTTTGAGTATCGAATGATTGTAAAACAGAGGAAAAAAAGTTCTTTCAGGAGAAAAATGGATCTCTCAAACCTCGATATTAGGAACTTTCCAAATTCTCTCGACTTCAAGAGAATTCAGGCGATTTTGGAAGACGAAAGATCTGTTAATAGAAAGCCTTCTATTTATTCTGATATTTTGAGGTTTCCAAATGTCAGAAGCTCTTTTGGCAAGGAAGCTATTAATGAGAATACCATGCAGCCCTTTAGTACGAACGCTCCTTATCAAATTTCAAAGAGACTTATCTCCAACGGTAAGAAGATCATGCAGAAAGCTCACCTTAATGGCCCTCGTATGGAAGATAAATCTTTCACTCCCTAAGACTCTTGTATTAATGCGCCAGCCAAAATTCAAGGCTCTACTTAAAATAAAAAAATCAAAGGGAAGTCAAGAAGGCGTTGTTGTATCGTTTAAGGCTTAAGCATGAAGAAATCAAGAGGTCTTATGAGCCTCTACCTTTTTTCTACCCTAGGCGAAAATGTAAGGTACTTGCATTAAATATCCTTGAAAAATTAAATTTAGTTGGAAGAGCCTCTTCAAATTTAAATGATGTCTGTAATGAGGTAATAAGATGGTGGCACATCATAGTTTGATGGATGATCTACTGGTTATGAAGAACATTCTGACATTAACATTAGTAGTCTGGACTCACCAGATGCTTCAAAGGTCTTATAAATGCCATTTGAAGGATTTTGTGAGCATTCATTTAGAGAAGATTTTTAGATTATGTTCAACGAGAAATAGGGTAACGAAGAGGCACTTCTTACAATAAACCAAATATCCGTTCATATTTTGAAGAAGTTGGAATTTCCCTTGTACCTATCAAAGGATACAATGAAGATTCTTAGGCCTTGGTGTTTTCTAGTGGTGGCCAGCTCGTACGATAATGATTTGTTGTTTGGAATTCTTTGATAGGTAGATTGGATGTCTTCGCTGCCCTTGAAAAATTTCGTCAAGCAATGGTATTTGGTGGATAAGTTCTCTTCATTAAAGTTGGGCTTTCTCAATTATTGAAGACAAAAGGTCTATGATTGTTTTGTAATTGAGGAAGCTGAAGGGTCACTTTGGATATGGATTTTTCTTTTGGTTGAAGCCAAAGGGTCACACTGGGATTTGCCTTTTATCAGTGAAGCCAAAGGGTCATTGAAAAGAAGTGTGGGTTTAATGACCCTTTTCTTTTGACAGATTGCTTGGTTTGGCTTTTCAAGGAGCATTTCCCCCTTAAGAGATTTTGTAGGGTCACTGCAGCAGCCTTGTGGAATGTGAGGAGTCTTCTTTTAAATTTGGGTGACAGTAATGTGGGCAGTCTTTTAAAGTTTGGAATGCAAGAAGCCTCTTAGATATTAAGGAGAAAAAACAGCAGTATTTATTGGTTTTGGAAAAAAAACAACAGCATTTATCTCTTTTTGGAATTCGAAAGGTCTTTTGATTGTAATGAATGCTACATTGGATCTTTCAAAACATGGTTAAAGCCTTGGAATCATTTATTTTTTGAGAAGCAGAAATGTTACTTAAAGATTTCTTACAGGAATCGAAGGATATCATAGAAGTTTCCTCTTCTTTGGTTTCTTGTTCGCCCAATAGGACTTGGAGTCCTATGGTGCTTTTGAAGTTTTCTGTACCTGTAGCTTTCCCCGTCCGCCCTTCGTCGGGTTTTCCCCCATGGCAGACATTGGCTTATAATACTCGAGAGCTTTGTTCTTTATTGTCCTATGTTCTTGTAATTTTTGGTTTGCTATTCTATTTTTTGTTCTTTTCTCTTTTTGCTCCCTTTGAAAGTTTTTATCCTTGCACATTTTCTTCTTTTTCATATATCAGTGAAAAGTTTGTTTCTTGTTCAATAAATAAAAAATATGCCTAATCTTTGTATTTCAACCCAATGCCTCCTTTTAAGACCCATCTGATGTGATAACTCTTTCCGAAGGAGACTAGAGAAAGAATAGTTGAACAAAAGAATATACAACCACGAAAATTATAGAAGCCATAAATTGCTTGTATTTTTTATTCATGAGGATTGAGGTCTATGAGAAAAAGTTATGTGATTCAGTGAAAATTTAAGAAAAGGAGTAGCAATTAAGAAAATTTATATGTTAGTTACTTACCAGATTTGGAAAGATTCTCATTTACCGTGCCCAACTTCAATTCATAATCATGAACTTGCTTCTCTGCATTGCTTAATGCATCTAGGAAGTCTGATTTCACCTGAAAAACAAGTACGCTTAGGTAAATAAATAATAAAACCAAATAAATAAAGACTGCTCGAGACAAAATATGAAAGAAGTATTGCAAAGATTACTGTGAAAGGATGGCATGGGAGTTGTAAAACTAGTGTGACAAGAAGCATAGACATTAGGCTTTAAAATATATTAAGTTATTGTGGTCAAGAGTAATACAAGTGACCTAACATACTTCAACTTGGCATTAGTTTCTAGAACGCAACATAAATTGCATCATATCAACTACTCTATGGAGGATAATATAATTGGAGTAGCTCAAATAAAATACTTACCTTGGGTAGTCTACGGTGTTAATTGATAAGAAAAGAAAATAATTCTTACTTGATTATCACAAATGATTGATACAAGGCTATATAAATAGCAGTCCCAAAGAAGAAACTAAAAAGAAATTTTTGCCTATTAGGATAAGGAAACACTTACCTATTAGAACAATAAAAACCTAACCTAAATAAAATAGGAAACCTTTAAAATCAAATAAACTATAATTTAACACTCCCCCTCAAGCTGGTGAATGTATATTTTCCATTCCCAGCTTGTTAACCAAATGCTTAAAGTTGATGTTGTTCAATCCTTTTGTAAGAATATCTGCTATTTGATTGTTTTTTGGTACAAATGGAGTACATATGAGGTCGCTATCTAACTTCTCTTTTATGAAGTGTCTATCAACTTCAACATGCTTGGTTCTATCATGTTGAACTGGATTATGTGCAATACTGATGGCAGACTTGTTATCACAATAAAGTTTCATAGGCCCTTCCCATGGAATCTTCAAATCTTCTAAAATAATCTTTATCCACAGTAATTCGGAGATGCCCAATGTCATTGCTCTAAATTCCGCTTCTGAACTTGATCTTGCAACTACATTTTGTTTTTTACTTCTCCACGTCACTAAGTTCCCACCTAAGAAAGTACAATAGCCAGAAGTGGATTTTCTATCGTCTATCGATCCTGCATATCTGCATCTGTATAAACTTCTAGATTAAGTTTCTCTCCTTTCTTAAACAACAATCCTCTCCCAATGGAGTTCTTCAAATAGTGTAGTATTCGGTAAACAGCTTGAAGATGAATTTCTTTTAGACTATGCATAAATTGACTTACCACTCCTACAGCATACGCAATATCTGGTCTCGTATGAGAAAGATATATTAATTTTCCAACAAACCTCTGGTAAGTTTCCTTATTTACTGGAGGACTCTCTTCAGATGCACATAATCTATGGTTTTGATCAAATCGACGTTCCTATTGGTCTGCTGCCAAGCTTTCCTATTTCAGAAAGTAAGTCAATCACATATTTCTGTTGTGATAAGAATATGCCTTGTTTAGAATAGGCTACTTCTATCCCAAGAAAATATTTCAGTCTTCCCAGTTCTTTAACTTTAAACTCTTGGATTAAACAATTTCTCAGTTTATCTTGCTCATTATTATCATTGCCAGTGACGATAATATCGTCCCCATAAACAATCAATGTTGTTACTTCCCCTGTAGCATAATGTTTTATAAACAATGTATGATCTCCTTGACTTTGTTTATAGTCCATCTTCCTCATAACTTGAGAAAATCTACCAAACCATGCCCTAGGAGATTGCTTTAATCCATACAACGCCTTTTTTAATTTACAAACTTTATTTCCTGCTTGTTGATACCCAGGTGGAATCTCCATATAAATTTCTTCTTCAAGATCACCATATAGAAAAGCATTTTTTACATCATATTGTAACATGTCCCATCCATGATTTACAGTAAGAGATAGAAGTATTCGTACTGTATTCATCTTGGCAACAGGCGCAAAGGTTTCATGATAATCAACTCCATATGTTTTAGTATATCCCTTAGCAACCAACCGTGCTTTGTACCTCTCGAGTGTTCCATCTGCTTTATACTTTACAGTATATATCCATCGACATCCTACAGCTTTCTTATCTTTAAGCATAGTAACCAACTCCCATGTTTTATTTTTTTCTAAAGCCTGCATTTCAAGATTCATTGCTTGCCTCCATTCTTCATGTTGTATTGCCTCCATATATGTTTTTGGAATATTTACCTGAGTAAGGTTAACCATAAAACTTTTGTACTGACTTGAGAGTTTGTCATATGATACAAAGTGAGACAATGGATACTGAGTACAAGTCTGTTTTCCCTTCCTTAAAGCAATCGGCAAATCCAGGTCTAACTCATCATTAGCAGATATTGTAATATCTGACTCCTCATTAGTAGATATTATAATGTCTGATTCATCAATGATTATTTTCTCGTCAATTTCAGTTACAGGGACATGTTCAGACGCTTGGACTTACTTATCTTTTTCAGTGTTCCTTCTTGAATAAACCTGTAATGGTGTAATAGTAGAAGGGTTAGATGGTCCCGGTAAGGTGTCTAAGGGTGGTGGTAAAGAATTTGATATAGGAAATGTGAGGTTGGGAATGGGCAAATCCTTATCTTCCAATAATAGTTCCTCCCCTTGAAGATAAGGTGAGGTAATGAAGCTGGTGTCTTCATAGAAGGTAACATCAGAAGAGATGAACAACCTTTTTGAAGGAGGATGATAGCATTTATATCTCTTTTGAGTGTTCGAGTATCCGACAAAAATACACTTGAGTGCTCGTGGATCAAGTTTACCTCGCTGATGACTATGAACATGAACAAAAGCTACACAACCAAATACTTGAGGAGTCAAGTTATCTGTTGTTTGAAAATCAGGATAATATTTTGATAGGATATCCATAGGAGTTTTATGGTCTAGAGTAGCAGATGGTAACCGATTGATTAAATAAGTGGCTGTTAACACAGCTTCCCCCCAAAAGGATTTAAGAACATTTCTTTGAAAAAGAATGGCACGTGTCACAGAAAGGATTTGACCAATTTTTCTTTCGGCCATTCCATTTTGTTGAGGAGTGTCCACACAAGACGACTCATGGATGACTCGATTTTTTTGAAAGAAGGATGTTAAGTTTTGATTGAAGTAATCTCGAGCATTATCAGAGCGGAATCGTTTGGGTTTGATTCCGAATTGGTTTTCTATCATATGAAAGAATGTTTGAATGGTAGAACCGACATCGGATTTTTGTTTTAAAAGATAAACCCATGAGACTCGAGTACAGTCATCAATAAACACAATAAACCAACGAAATTTGGAAACATTTGGAACATTGGAGGGACCCCAAACATCAGTATGAATAAGAGAGAAGGGAACTGATATTCGTTTATTATTACTAGGGAAGGGTACACGCTTGTGTTTAGCGAATTCACAAACTTCACATTGAATTGACTCAGGATTAAGATTTTGGAATAAATCAGGAAACAATATTTTAAGAGTTCGAAATGAAGGATATCCTAGTCTATAATGATTCAACAAAAGCTTACTTGAAGGATGATGAGTTTGTGAGGTGAAGGAGACTGGAACACTAGTCTGATCGACAAGTTCATTAAGATAATAAAGTCCATCTTTTTCATTAGCAAGTCCAATAATCTTCCCATTGCCCTAGTCCTGTAAAATACAAGAAGAATCAGAAAAAATTACTCTGCAACCTAAATTTTTGATCAAATTCTTTACTGATATCAAATTAACAGTTAAACGTGGTATATGAAGCACATTCTTTAAAGTAATGTTTGAATTTATCTTGATGTCTCCTTGACCAGCCACTGTTACCAAGGTACCATCTGCGGTAGAAATTTTCTTATTGCTCGGACAAATACTATAAGAGATAAAATGACAGCTACTATTCGTCATATGGTCTGTTGCACCATAATCAATAATCCATGTACAACGTTTAGGCTGAGAAGTTGTACTCGTCAAAGTTACCGAACCTGTACCTTGACAAGGAGCATTATCCAAAGTTGTATTCGTCATATGGTCTGTTGCACCATAATCAATAATCCTTAATGGCAGCACAGAAAATGTAGTCTCCAGCAAACTTGTTGCAGCCTTGAACCTCAAGGTCTCCCCTCATCCTTCACTATATAAGATTAGCTGGATTCGAAAAGAAGGAGAGGCTTTGGTTAACACAATTTGTACAGTTCCTCTTTCTGCAGGGACTAGTTACAAAGATCAAATAACGTGTGATGGTCTTGACATGGATGTGTGTCACATCCTTTTAGGAAGGCCATGGCAATATGACACCCAAGTTATCCACAAGGACCGAAAAAACACCTATGAATTCTCATGGATGGGGAAAATCGTGGTTCTACTCCCTTTATCGACACAACACGTGATGCAGCACCTCACAAGGTTTTTTTCAGAAATGATTCAATGCCCTTTCATTAAAAGGCTAAAACCTATTTATAGAGGTTTCAAGCTTAAGAATTACATGAGTAACTATTGTTACTGTGCAGTAAAAGTAAAGCTACTAAAATAAAAGCTATAACAGTAGCTAATATTCGAGAAAAACTATAAAGAGCTACTTAACTACATCAATTTCCCTGACCCCAAAATGAAACTCGTCCTCGAGTTGAAAAGTAGTGGAGTTAGAAGGCGGTGAACAATCCGCAAACTAGAAACTCGCTTCTTCTTGTGGTTCAAAAATACTCCAATCGAAAATGTCTTTTTTAACTCATCAAAAAAACGATAAAGTGACCAAATTGAATTAAATCCCAAGAAATTTTGATGCAATAATTTGTTGAGACAAAAGTGTTCCAAATTATCAACATTCTTTTCCTCGGGATCCTTCGGAAAACTACCCACTTTCTTCTTCTTGTATTTACATTCTTGAAGTCTACTTGGAAGGAAGAGCTTTCTTGCATTTTCTTGTAGCCGATGTTCTTGAAGTTCAATTGGAGAATCTTCATCTCCTTCATCAAAATAATCAGCAAAACTCAAAAGAAATTCATCCTCTATGTTATTTGAACTTATCCAAGGGAGTTTTCTTTGGAAAAAATTAGAAGCCAGTAAAAGATTCTCCCTCTTCATTGGTTCATCTTGACAATTCTTATGAAATTCTTGACCCAAATCTCAATAAAGATTCTTGTTGATTCTTTTGCCCGTTAACATATTGCATTTCCACTTCAAAGAACAATGTAGCCAAAGAAAAAGTAGAATCATCATCTGTTCCTATCAATTCTTCATCAACCTCTTCTTCCCCATCAAAATAATTGTCAAACTTAAGAAAAAACTCATACTCTTGTTCAATTGCCACAACCTGAGAAGAGTTTGGATTCCACAATTTCTGAAATCAACATCGAAGGCAGCAACTTGAGGCAAAATTGAGTTACCTCTTGCATCCTCTGAAATTTTTGTTGGTCTTATGAAATCATTTGAAGTGTCTTCACTCTTTTGGTGGCAAAATCTTCCCATCTTGGTTAAGGTATCACTTGGGTTTTTTTCTCTAGTTGGGAGTTTTGTAAAAGAAGAAAGAAAAATTCCATGGCTGTTGTTTGGAGTTTGGTGGCAAAATACCTTAGTCTTGTATSAAACTAATTTGTTAAAATTCGTACAAACTCCAACATTGTTGCTTGAACCTTCTTGATACCTTCTTGGTGTACAAACTCCAAGATTTTGGTTGAAGTCTTGYCGGACAGCTCTCARTTCTTRGAGCATTCTTGGTTCAAGAACATAATCTTGGTACCTTCTAGGCTGCACAAGGTGCTGTTCTTGGAGGTTTCTTGGTCTCYGATTGACTTCTTCGACTCTTCTTGGTGGTGTATGGTACCTCTCCGGCAGGTAATTAGTCCTTTGATCCTCCATCCACATTTCTTGATCCAATCTTGTAGAATTTTGAGGAGGAGTTCTAACCGTAGCTTGCTGTACACTCATTGCTTCGAGCTTGTCATGGATGATCTCCAAAATTTGTTTAATCTCGCCGACATCCTGCTGGATGGTTTTCACCTCTCCTTCAACCGACAGCAAGCGTGCGGTTGATGATCGTGGCGAGAGAATGGAGGCTTGCTCCACTTCTTTGTTGACGAGAGAAGAGTCACCAATGTTGATCAACTTCCTTCCCGCCATACAACCCAGAAAATCGGGATGCTCTGATACCAATTTGATGTAGCACCTCACAAGGTTTTTTAAGAAATGATTCAATGCCCTTTCATTAAAAGGCTGAAACCTATTTATAGAGGTTTCAAGCTTAAGAATTACATGAGTAACTATTGTTACTGTGCAGGAAAAGTAAAGCTACTAAAATAAAAGCTATAACAGTAGCTAATATTCGAGAAAAGCTATGAAGAGCTACTTAACTACATCAACATGTCAACATGGTACCACAAATACTGCAAAAGGCCACTTGTTTCATATTTGCAGTGGCAAACAACTTCTCCTTCAGCGATCCAAACCACTTTTAGCCTTGATTGTAAAAGAGTTCACATCTTGGGATAGTTCGAATCCCCAAAAGTTCACCTCTCTATCCAGTCTCTTCTTGACGAGCTTCTTGAGCTTCTCCAACCATAGGATTTTGTCCCTCCTTCACGAGATATACAACATCACATTGATCTTTTGTCAGGGCTACACTACCTAACTTGCCCCACTACAAAATGAGCCCTACGGAGTATAAGATTTTACACGATCAGATTATAGAATTACTGGAGAAAGGGCATATCCAACCAAGCTTGAGCCCTTGTGCAGTTCTAGCCTTCCTCACCCCTAAGAAAGACGGGTCTCGGAGAATGTGTGTTGATAGCATAGCTATCAACAAAATAACAGTTCAAATACCGATTTCCTATACCGCGAATTGGGGATCTTTTGGATCAATTAGGAGAAGTTGAAATCTTCTCCAAAATAGACCTTCGCAGTGGGGACCACCAAATACGAATTCGCTCAGGAAACGAATGGAAAACCGCTTTCAAAATGAACGAAGGCTTGTTTGAGAGGTTAGTCATGCCCTTCGGGTTGTCGAACGCCTCTAGCACATTCATGAGGTTGATGAATCAGGTTCTTCTTCCCTTCTTACATAAATTCGTTATTGTCTACTTTGATGATATTTTAATCCATAGTAAAAGTAGGTAAGATCACCTTACACGTCTAAACACTTTATTTACTACACTACACAAGAATAAACTAGTCATTAACCTTAAGAAATGTATATTTTTAGCTACTGAAATATCCTTCCTAGGATTTCTTATTAGTGCTGTTGGAGTACGAATGGACCCTTCAAAATTCAAGCAATATCCGCTGGCCCCAACCCCAAACCGTAGAAGTTGTTCAATGCTTCTTAGGTATAGCATCCTTCTATAGAAAGTTCATAAAAGATTTTAATACACTAGCTAGACCCTTAACTGATTGTTTAAGAAAAGGGAATTTTCATTAGGGCAAAACCCAGCAGGACAGCTTTGACATCTTAGAATAAACTTACTCAAAATCCAGTCCTACGTCTTCCTGATTTCACACTACCATTCGAAGTAGCAGTAGGTAGATGCATCCGGCATAGGAATAGGGGCTGTCTTATCTCAAAACCAGCATCCCATTGAATATTTCACTGAAAAACTTAGTCCATCTCGCCAAAACTGGAGCACATACGAGCAGGAATTGTATGTCCTTGTTAGGGCCCTTAAGTAATGGGAACGCTACTTATTAAGTCAGGAATATATCCTTTTTACAGATCACTTTTCTTTAAAATTCCTGCATACTCAAAAATCCATTTGCATGCCATATGGCTTTCATTTCTATTTTCTACAACATTTGATTTTGTTATCAAACATAAAAATGGAGCTTTGAATAAGGTTGTATATGCTCTTAGGCTCTTAGCAGGAAGGGAGCATTGCTAACTATACTACAAGGTGAGATTACGGCTTTTTCTAATCTACCCACATCTTATAACAATGATCCAGACTTCCACGATATTTGGACTAAATGTCTTCATCATAGCAGTACAGCAGATTTTCACTCAAGTCAATGGCTATCTCTTCAAAGGTGACAACTTATGTATACCTCACACATCCTTAAGAGAGGCCCTAATTAAGGACCTTCATTCGGGGGTCTTGGTTTACACCATACCCACTAAGAGAAGAAGAGGTAGTGGACCAACCAAATTCGGTCGGTGCCATACTTGCTAGAGATTGTTATGCCACAAAGTATCAGATTATAGTACAAACCTCAATGACTAGCTGGAAAGAAGCAGCTATTTGCCTCCCTCTGAATCTGCCCGAAATATCTCATGATCATCTCAAATTTCAAGGTTGATTTAACATGTAATCTTGGAAAATATATAAAATGGGCGGTAATGAGCTTGAATTCACCAGACCCTTAAAGACCTCCTACTTTAGGAGTTTTCGTGTGACCTTATTCCACAACATGGTTTAAAAATTCATGGCTCTCAGACCACCATCTCAATCAAAATACTTAAGAAATCATGACCCAATGACTGGAGAGCATACTCTAGCCATCATCTCAATCAAAATAGTCAATTGGGTTAAGACAGGTTAACATCTACACCTCCAAGGAGAGCTCAGAAACATCAAACAATTCGAACAACTAATGAACTTTACCAAATAACATGACAACGAAATGAGGTATCAATTATAAGGAATGGATTTGAGAAGAGGAAAGAGATGGAATTTTGCGGACCATTTGGCGGCATTGGTAAGTGCAGAGCATGGGCTCAGAGTGGTTGTGCGACAACTCTGGTTGAGACGTTGGTGGCAGCGAGGGAAGAGGGTCTTCATAGATAACGAGCGGCAGATCTGACGCAGCTCCGGACGAGGCATCGGGCAGAGCCCTCACATCGGATCGTTGCTTCTTCAGCGGAGGAGTCCTCAAGATCATGCTGCTGCCTCTCAAATCGCTGGGTTAGGGTTTGTTGAAGTGAACTGCAGCTGCACTGCCCAATTTGAAAACAACGGTCGTTTTATTGCTGAAGAGCTTGATTTCGACCAAATGATGGAATGTGGATGTGCTGTGATTGTAATTGTGATTGTGAACAACTTAGAGCCGTCTCCTTATTTCGAAGCTTAAACATTGGCTATTGGAAAATGGACAAAAATGGGAATTAACAAATTTAACCTAACCAGTTTTTCAAATCGTTCAAATGACCTGCTATTTTAAAATATGTCTTTCTGATCTAAAACAACATTTTCTGACCAAATGTTAAAGTACAAAATTGTCCCATTAGTTTAATAAAAACTTTGAAGTATGGAGCGAAAAAATCAGGCAAAAACTCGGGGGAGTTTTTTTAACCTAACCAGTTTTTCAAATCGTTCAAATGACCTGCTATTTTAAAATATGCCTTTCTGATCTAAAACAACATTTTCTGACCAAATGTTAAAGTACAAAATTGTCCCATTAGTTTAATAAAAACTTTGAAGTATGGAGCGAAAAAATCAGGCAAAAACTCGGGGGAGTTTTCTTCGAACTCACCGGAATTTTTATGAAATTTGCTAGGAATCAATTTACGGACGAGTTTTTACAACTTGGTATCTCAAAACAATTTAGATATATTTAAATTGTTAACAAATTATTCTTTGGCCTCACCCATTTATGACCGAGGGCTCGAGTTTGAAACTTGTCGAATTTAAATTATTATTTTTTTTCTAAAAATTACAAATAGGATAAAAATTAAAAAATGACCATGATTGGAGTTTAAACCACATACCTGAGGATAATGATCCGTGCATGAAGACAACAAGCCAAGCAACCATTTTATTGAGTAGATTCCACATATTATATTATAACGCCATTTAACTTCATCCGAAGTCATTGAAACTCGCTCATTAATCCACAAATTTCATAACTCAAGCTAGGTTTATTCGAACTCGTCCGAGTTCACATGAATCTCGGGCGTGTTTTCTTCGAACTCGCTCAAGTTTTGCTTGAATCATGGACAAATTTACACAAGTATCGAGCGAGATTTATGAATTTTGGGCGAGATTTATGCAATTTCTGGTGAGATTCAAGCTCAATATTAATGGTCATAACCCAAATATTAAAAAAAAATCAAGAGGGGGAGATTTATGTCATATGAATTCAAGTCCATTCTAATTTCAACAAACCCAAATA